GCTGATTTTGTGAGAAGAGTCTGGTGGTCAGAGGAAGTGTAAAGGGATCTGTCCACCTGTGTGTCCACTCCTTTGATAACTAATTCCGGGGTGGCCCAGGCCAGGTCTATCATGTTATGCCCACGTGTGGGAGTGTCTGGGTCCATGGTGAGAGTAAAGTTGAAATTCATGGTCCATTGCAGGAATGGTTCCGCCCACCTGCTTGGAGGCACTCCTGGTTGCCACACGGGGTGCTTGATATTGAGGTCGCCAGCAAGGAGCAACGGGAGTGCTGGGACAGACCAGGAGAGAAGACAGCCCACACCTTGTCCAGGATCCTCTGCGCCTGGGGGTGCATTGTATATGTTGACTGTCTGAAGCTGTAGACCCCAGGCCTGTATGTGCAGCATGTGGATGTCCCGGTTTTCTGCCCAGGGGCCTGGGACTGCATGAGCATGGATTTGTGGGTGTTTATGCACATAGGTGAGGACCCGTGGCTTCCTGTCCCACTTTTCAATTGGGGCAAAGCAGTTGAATGCTGGATGCTTTTTGGAGATGCGTTGGCTTAAGTTCCTGTGAATCCAGGGTTCCTGTATGAGAAGGATGTCAGTCTTTCTTTCAAACGCTAGATTGAGGGCCGTCTCGTGTGCTGGGCCCCCTTTTCCTACGTTGACTTGCATAATCTGCAGGAATTGCGGAGATCTAGAGTTCTTCTTCATTGAGTAGCTGAAAGGAGGGTGTTGTTGCGTGAGATGACGTGTTGGGTGTTGCATTAGATGTTGGGTTGGGCGCCATGCCTAATGCTGTGCCTGATGCTGTGCTCAATGCTGTGCTTGGTGCTGTGTTTGATGTCGGTGTGAGGTTAGATCTATGCTCAGTAGAATCATTCAACCTCAGGTCTGCTGATGGCCCTCGACCACCGCATTTGCTGTTACTTGCCTTGGCCAAGTATGCCTTACTCTGTGCATTGCGGATATCCCTCAGCTGGTTTCTTGAGTGCCTTTGAACAGTCCCATTCTTTATCCCTGGTCTGGCGGGGCAGGATGGATCATCCGCGGCATGTGGTCCAAGACAGTTAGTGCAGCGATTGGGGCATCCACATGCTTCATTCTCCTTATGACAGGATGGATTTCCTTTCACATGATTCTTAGAACTGCATTTTTTGCAGCGAGGGACGCGGAGGCAGTATCTCTCTTGATGAAATCCCCAGCATTTGCTGCATTGTTGTATTTTGACCTTAGGTGCCTTTCTGATCACTGGTCTTTGATATCCATATAGTTCCACTTTTGATGGCAGGTTTACTGCTGTCTCTTGCGAAAAGTGTAATATAAGAGTGGCTGTTGGGTTTCCAGGGTGTATTTTTGCCCAGCGACTCTGGACAGGCTTGATTCTGGTTTGGAGTGTGAATTCTTCTGTCATGGATTCTGCTGAGAGATGCAGAGTTCCACCACCATAGTCACTAATCTCCATGGGCAGCCCAGGAATCAGGCAGGTGATCCAATGTTCTTCCTTCTCTATCTGAGTATTGGTGAGGGTGGCTGCTAAAACATTCTTTTGGGCTAGCAGGGCCTCCATGTCTTGCAAGCTTCTAGGAATGATGGCAATGCCTGTGGGGATGGCTTGAACTGCTGTGATGGCTGCTGCCAAAGGCCCTGGGAGTTCAGCCTTCAGCTTTCTAAGAGTAGCAATTGGGCTTGCTTTGCGAGCTAGATGATCTGAAGGCAGGCGCGCGAGGATTCGTGGTGTTTTTCCTTCTCTGGGGTTATTCCTAAGCAGGGGTTTCTGCAGTATGGTTGCTGGTGTTTTTGTTACATTGGTGCTGTCTGCAGCTGTCTTTGCGTAGGTAGGAGCTCTTGCATCATTTGCACCAGTGGAGCCAGCAGGCTTGATTGTGGTGGACTGCTTAGCTGTTTCTAGACTTCCATTGTACCAGTCCTTGACTAACGCCTTCACAGCGGCTCCAAGGGCCAGTGCCCTTGATAGGCCTTTTGCCTTCATGACATCTAGGTCTTCTTCAATCCGATCAAGCATATTTGCAGCCGCTAGTGCTTCTGCATGGGATTTCTGTGCCTCAGCCTCGTGGGCGGCTAGGAGATCGCTAGCCATCGGGCCACGTAGGTTGAGGTGAATTGGTGCGACATTTCTGCTCTTTGAGCTGCCTGCTGGTGTAGGGGAGCTTGGAGACTCCATGTCATTCAGTTCACATGTGCGGCGGGCGATTGGGGTGAGGAGATGGGGTCTCTTGGGTGGACGGCGTATGGGGGAGCAGATGCGCGTCAAGGCTCGGGACGCGTTCGGTGGTGTTGGGGGGCTGGGCGCGCTGGCGGCGCTGTGTCGGCACGCCATCAGGCTTGCTGCCTGAGGGGATGGGAGAGAGCTTATAGGGATGTGATCAGGATTGATTAAGATGTTTTTGTATAACGATCAGAGAGTTGCGTTGCCAATTGTTTCTCGCATGTCTGTGTGTGTGTGTGTTTTTATTTAACGCCCAGTTAGTCCACGTGCCTTAAGAGCCACATAAGTGAGTTGGCCACTTTCCTCCCCACTGTACA